AAGATTTTTTTAAATGAAAGTATTAAAATCAACAAGAAATGTCAAAGTTTTACAGAATGCTGAATCATTTTTGTGATTTTATATATATATTTTTAATGTTTTGTTACGTTACAGATACCATCTAGTAAAATTACTGATTTTTTTTTCTTTAATTTTGACAACAACAACCAAACAGGTCAAAACTATAAATAACGTCTACATAAAAAATCCATATTTTTTGAAATAGTAAGTTGTTCTTTTACAACTCTGACCAGAAAGTTATGCTGCTTTTTATATATTATATTATATTTAACCAGAAAAATAGAATTATTTAACCAATATTTCTCATTTTTTGAAAGAAAAAAAAATGTGTGGGACTAAAAAATGGTCACTTTAAAAAAAAAAAAAAAAAAAGTAATAATTCACTTGTTAATTGCAAAGAAACAAAACATGTCATAAATCTACAGAACATCCACGTCAAAAAGCTCTATTTTAAAAAAACAGTAAGTTGGTATTTTACAATGTGTGACTGTAAAATGACACCGTTTCACTGTATTTAATTCTGCTGCAAATCAGTTTTACAGATATCTGCTGTTATTTCCACCGTTATGAATGTAAAGACGGCTTTTTATGTCCGTGAGTATGTTTGAATATAACATGTGTTTCATTGATTCAACCTAAAAATCAGTCAATAAAATTAGACATTAATGGGATTTTGGGCTGTTCATTTTATATTTAATGTCCCTGCTAATACACTTTATTCTCATTATTGGTGTACAAATCCAATTTTATGAGCATGACTCCATTTGAATGTTTTTGAAAAATGCAAATTACCGAAGATAAATGAGCCAACTTTGCATGTCATTCAACAGTGTTTCGTTTATCATGTCTGCAAATCACTGATTAAACTTCCTCTCAGGATGAGACGCTCGCACGGCGTCTGTTACAGCATGAACACGAGCATTAGTATGATCGGGACGTTCCTACCGAGAGATAACACAGGTAACGAGCTGAAGACATGCAAACTTATTCTAGAATTATGCAAATGCACAATTGCTGAGAATAAAAAAAAAATTATGCAGCTTAGTTTTCTTCTGAGGCACTAAAAGTTTAATTTTCTAATCTTGCTACTGCCTGGTGCGAGCAAATCACAGATTAGTAACAGTCAGATGTAAAGATAAAGACAACTGTAGGTTTAAAATGTGTGCATCAGCTTTGATTTTTTTCAAAGCTGTGCAAAGATATAAAAAAATCACACCTCAGTTCTGACTAAAAAGAAGAATAACCGAGTTCACAGAAGTAATTTATCATAACAATGTTCACACATGAGCACGCCAAAAAATAAATAAATAAAAAAATCACATCTCTTGGAGGGAAGCCGACCTCGCAGTGAAGTCGTCCGGCGAGTTATTCATTACACCGCTGGACCTACAGGCTCTCCGTGCAGTCATCCGTCACGGCCGTCACTCGCCTTTACTTTTTCACACGAGCTGCAAAAACGAGCTAAATGACGGGCAGCAGCAGCTGATGTAAAGGCAGGTGACGAATTAAAGGAAAAAAACCAACACAAAGCGTCTTAATGAGTTGTGGGGCCGCTGTGTTCCTCTAGAACAGCTCGGATTGCTCGTCTCAAACAACTGGGTCGTCCCTAGAACTCCAGTGAAGAGATTGAACAACAATTTTCCCTCATTTGGTGTTTGTGGACTACGCCGTCTAACAAAAACGTCCCACAGATGTTGGATTTGGTTGAGATCTGGTGACTTCAGAAGGATACAGCGTATGATTCACAGCATTTTCTAAATCATCAGACCGACACATGGGGGCGCTGTCACGGCTAAAGGTTCGAGTTTTTCCCACAGACTGTATAAAAGATGGACGTAGCTACCGTGATGTCACCCGTTGGTTTCTGCACTGAGAAAATGAAGCCAGGGTTTTGCGACTTCCTGGTCGACATCTTGGATTTTTGGAGTCAAAAATCGTCGGAGGGGGGCGGAGCCATAGGAGCAGCGATTGGTCAGACGGATTGAGAGGCGGGCCCTCTCTGCCCGCCCACATTTACCGCCTTCTGCTCGCTTGGTCTGCATCGTCGCTGCCGACTGTCAATCAAGCCTGCCACGCCCCTTGCCCCGCAAAATGTTTTAAAGATTCAGTATTGATGTATTCTCAGATTGGCCACCTGATCTCTGGATTTGACCATGAAAACTAATAAAAACAAAATCCTGAGCTGTAGGAATGCGGTATTTTGTGATCTGTGTATGTCTATGGGAGCCAGGGCTTTTTGGAGCCAGCAGCTAGTGGACGTAGTGATATTGCAGGTTTTTGACACTTCCGGGTTGGCTTCATTTTCCAGGGCCGGTTGCTACGTCCATCTTTTATACAGTCTGTGGTTTTTCCTTTATCACTTGCGTGTGATTTGAACCAAAATCAAACACCAAGTTTCCACAACACACAAAAACATGCTCAAGCAAAAAAGACACTTGTTCTGCAGGAAATTATGCAGAAAACACTTCCACGCATGATCCTTTATCTCCATTATGCCAAACTGAAGCCTCGGCAGCAACGAGAGCGTAAATCCACGCGCTACACGCTCAGACATGACATAAATCCCGCTGAATGAAGTTATGATATCCTGGAATCTGGTCTGCTGTGATCCTATGAATTATTCGGCGGTGGGACCATTCATCATTTCCCTCAGATGCTCACGAGAATAGAAGCCACATTTGCCCGGCGAACACTTCAGCGTGACTCATTACGAGTGCATTTGCGCGTCGGTGTGCGCGAGGCTTCCCTGGAGGGCCGTGTATCTCAGACTCTCCAGTGTAATTCTAATGGAGTTTTCACTGTGCGAAGTGACAATAGAAATGCCTCCTGTTGAGAAAGTGAAGAGTCTTAATTTTTCATGAGCACTTTGAGCATAGGAGTGAATTATTGATGTCATTCTTCTTCAGGGGGAAACAAAATCCCCCCATAAAGGCTCCACTGAGCACTAGATTGGTGGGCAAAGGCTAACCACGACTTGACTAACAGGCGAACCGCAGAGATGGCCGTTAATATCCTCGCAATTACAGCGGCAGCATGACTCAATTAAGGCCCTTTCAGATGTGATTATTGATCTGTTAAAGCAATCGCTGGATGGCTTTCAGATATAGGTCTCCATATAGAGAGAGAGCGACACATTCATTACAAATACAGCTGCTTCTTGTGCAGACGTATACCGGCCCGTTCCCTCATTAGCGAGGTTCAAGCACCGGTTCAAAAGGAAGTGGAAAGTGATGCCATCAGGAGAAAGCAGCGTTCACCTACAGACCTCAGCGAGGAAATATATCACCGATTTTCAAAGGTGCACTTTGTTCACCTGTGGACACCTGTAAGCTGCCTGATCAATGTTTTCTCAGGTTTCATAATTCATTATCTATGATGTGCAGAATTCGGAGACGGTAGTAAAACACCTTAACACTTAAAAAACTGCCCCTAGAGGCCTGTGACACTTGTGTTGTGTGACTGGATATGCAGCGTTTTCCTTTTGTGTTTCTGTTTATGCAGCACATTCCCATTTGTGTATACGCTCGTCATTTGGCCCCGTCGGCCACCGTAAGAATCACCTTTTATAAAAATAATGATAAAAAAATGTGCTGAAGCCAGTTTTTTCCCAGAATTTTTGGCTGACCTGGGTTGAACTGCAGGTTGTGTATAGAAACAAATAAAAAAATGTATGTAGGAAAATACCTAAGTCATGTAGAGTCACCAGTTTTTTAGAGCTTTGGTAACACCTTTGGGCTCTTGGAAAAAAAACACCTCCTGTTTTCTACAACAGTCATAGAAATTCTACTTTTTTCCCCCCATCATTAAGATTTATGGCAATATAATGCCATCACACCACACAAAAGAAATGAGTTGTGGTTTTACTTCTAGCCGTGGTTGTGGACTTAATATTTCAGTGAAAAATGAGCCCACAGTGAACAAGACTGACAGGAGCAGAAAGTGCTCTGGGTTCTGAGAATTAATAGACTACTACACCGATTAAGTACCGCAACTTCAAAAAACCTGAGCAACTCACGTGAGTCAGATTTAATTATCCAGACTTTTAGATCTCTGTAGAGGTCAGAGTCCATCATATCCACTTCTCACAATAGATCCAATAATGTCTTCTTGTTTGAGATGCACATGTGGGCATATTTAGATATTTAAGCCACAACACTGCACACAAAATGCTCCCTAACATGAACAAACTGCATTCAGACTCGACCCAAATGCAGCTCCTGTGTGATATTTAATAGAAAACAACTACAGGATGCTCTTTAACCTGAAGCCAACCTGTTTTGCACGTCGACAAAACGAGCAGCCGGTTTATTTTAAAATGTGCGAGGGCTCGTGTGTCATTACACTTTCTCTCATCCTCGCGTCAATAGCGCATTCAGCAGCGTCTTGCATTGATGAAAAGGGTTTTTAAAGGACCGGTGGTGATGCAAGGCTGACTCAACCTTCTACCTGCCTCTCTGTTTTTTATAGAGCTTCAGGGAAACACAGCTCTTCTGTCCTCTTAAGCGAGAATGGGAAAACCTTACTCGCCAAAAACTGCTCTTAGACTTTCAGATACATTAATGTAATTTGTAGATGCTCATCCAGGTGAGACATTAGTCAAGCAGACTTATTTGGGGCGACGCCGCAATTCAGACGTGACATTTAATCTATTTTGTTTGGGTGCCATCATGCATAGAGAAACAGATTGAAAGGAGGAACACAAGCCGCAACACAGACGGCGGCCCTCTCCTCAGCGAAGTGAAAAAATCTGTCTTTGAACAGTTCTGGAAACATAAGGGCCTGATAAAAGTGAAAAATAGTCACGAGTGTACGAGGGAATCAGTGTGAATAAAAGTTAATCAAGAACAGAGGGAGGCTGGCGGAGAGAAAATTGGAAATGAGGAACGAGCAAAAAAAAAAAAGAAAAAAAATTGCCAAATGAGTGTGGGAAGTCGGTGTCTGCGGGGTTTTTTTGACGGACAGCCTGTTGCCAAGGTTACCTGAGTGCGGTGCGGAGCTCCCACGGCCGCAGAGGGGAGGAGCCTGGAAGGCGTAGACGACGTCGCTGTCGGCCACCGACGTCAGGTCGTCGTCGTCCGCGAAGGAACGCTGGAAACCCGTCGTGTACAGCTCAGACAGGATGACCTGGAGAGAGGCAGGGGACGATGTGAAAACTCCTTCCCTCACATGTGCCTCATGGAGCTGATTTATTCTCTATTTTCAAACCAAAATCCCCAAAAGCGACAACAAAGAATTTAATTGAACTGAAATAAAATAAGGACCCTCTGGAGTAGCTGGATGTGAATATGGCTCGCAACCATTCTGCTGTATTCGAGCAAATTCAGACAAAAATAGAGGAGCTACGTCACTTAAAGCTGGAAAAATGTCATAATCAGGCACAAAATCCAAGACTACAAGTTTTTAACTGAAACAGATCAAGACCGAAATCTGAGACATGACAGCCTGCAGAGGGACTGACATGAAGAGCGAGTTTCTTTTTAGGATGTCTTAATATTTTAACTATCAGAGATCTGTCTGTCTTAGCTTCATGTTTAAGTCAAGAGCTTTAGGAGCTGTGGCAGGAAAAACACTTTATTAAATGAGGAGAGTCGTGCAATTCACACTGCTGGATATTTTGTGCACTGATGTAAGAAAAAAAATCAGAGGTTTTAGATAATTAATCTGTGTTTTGTACTTATGTGTGTAATATTTAGATCTTTCCTGTCATTAGCAGCTTATGTAACTGAATTTTTAAACCTGGTGAGTGGCTGTTGAAACTTTTTTTTTGGCACATTA